ACCTTAAACGAACGCTTCGGCACGCCTCTCGAAAAATGATAGATTTCCTGCTAAACTGATTTGGACTTTACGATTTCAGGTATCGGAGGGAAATAGGGACCGAGGGACAGTTTGCCAGTGTATCGGTTAGGAAGCTTCCGTGACGTGGTTGATGAGTGGAAGAAGAGCGGCCATTCTGGAGAACCTTTAACGACCAGATCGACGCTCGTAAAATCCACGATCTCTGATTAGCCGAAAGGGTAAATTTCATGATCCTGCCTTAACGACGGAGGCGTGTACGCAATGTCCTCTAGTTTTTGTCCAGGCTTCAAGATGGCGATGCTCCTTAATCAAAGTTTGATCGCCACCAGCAAAAATCCACGGATATTAGCGAGAACGACCCGATGATTGCGGCCAACCTCCAAGGAGCCGGTCAGAGATTATAAATCAAGCAATCAACCACCATAAAAATCCGCCCACCAGCTCTCTCAGCTGGCTCCTTTTTCCGCAATCAAATCACGAATTTCCAGCGCAATTACAATTAAAAAAAATTCCCCTTTCCCCGTAGGAAGATATAGTTTTTTCTTCCTTGAACTCCGCTAATGGGACAGCTTAACGTACGCTCATCTCGAAATTTGTTACCTCGCCAGCCAACCATACGGCACCTACTCTCAAATCTCCCGGCGGAGATTGCGATTCGCCACGGGCTGAAACCTCCGACCAGACGCAACTGTTGCACCAACAAAATACTGAAGGAGAAAAGAAATCAGGACCAGTCTGCTCCTCGTCTGCATTGTTACGGCTAGAAACGTCTCTCCTCTGTATATATATAACCGACGAGTTTAAGAGTACAATGCACCATAAATCAGCGATCATCGCGTATCCTCGCGAGGCCGATTCACGCGGAACGCGTGGGCGCGAGTGCGCACGCGCGACCCGAATCGCATACCTTATCGCCGATTTTCCGTTCTTCACAGATAACTGACTTTCACTCTTTTTGTACTTCGCACACCACGATTGTGATTTAATACGCTTCCCCTAAAACTGATGGCTTCCAAGACCACTTGCTTAGGTTAAGCCTTACTTACAAGGTATATTTTGTTATATTTCAAAATATGTATTTTTAATTTTGTGTGTATTGTAATTATAACATTGTCATGGGTCAATTTAACCTTGTATTATACCGCTGTTCTAATCATAGAACATTAATATTTGAAGATATTATTATGAACGAATAGAGTTGCATCTACTTTACCAATAATGGAAATATATCCTGATTTGTATTCTAAGCTTGTGCACCCTCAATCATTCTATTTGCGAGTGGATCAGATGAAATTAAATCTAGAAATTCGGCTTATTCTGCTCGCGAACGCGTCGGCTTTATTACGTTCATAATAATCATCAACTTTCTCTTTGAATAGAACGACCTACGAATATTTGATTCATTTATTCAAGATACTAATATTGAATTCAGCTGTACTTCAAATTGCTATACTTAATAAAAATGCTTTTATGACAAAATTTGTATTGTTTCTTAATACTTACAATATTATAACATCCCTGCATGCCTTACTTTCCTGCAACCCTTATATCTCTGCATTCCTTGCACCTCTGCACCTTATATCCGGGCATCGTTTGCATCTCTGCATCTCTTACATACCGACATTTTTTACATCCCTACATCCCGTATATCTTTGCATCCCTTACATACCGGCATCCTTAACATCCCTGTATCCCTTACATACCGGCATCCTTTACATCCGTACATCCCTTATATCTTTGCATCCCTTACATACCGGCATCCATTACATCCCTACATCCCTTATATCTCTGCATCTCTGCATCCCTTACATACCAACATCCTTTACTTACATCTCCACATCCCTTATATCCTTGCAACCCTTATATCCCTTTCGTCTCTGGAACTTATATATCCCTGTAGCAGAGAGCGAAAAATCGAGCAAAATTTAGTTCCATTTTTCGCCACCAGGGGGCGCTGATTCGACGTCGAAAATTTAGTTCACATTTTTGCCGCCAGAGGGCCAAAATTGCTGCAAGCTTTAGTTCCTTTTTTCGGCACCAGAGGGCGCTGATCCGACATCGAAAATTTAGTTCACATTTTTGCCGCCAGAGGGCCAAAATCACTGCGAGGTTTAGTTCCTTTTTTCAACACCAGATGGCGCTGACTCGACATCGAAAATTTAGTTTGCATTTTTGCCGCTAGAGGGCCAAAATTTCGGCAAGCTTTAGTTCCTTTTATCAACACCAGGTGGCGCTGACTCGACATCGAAAATTTAGTTCACATTTTTGACGCTAGGGGGCGCTGTTTTTTCGAAAAGGGAACTAACTTACCTTTACTCGAAGCAGTCTTTATAATATATTTATTATAAGGGATGCAGAGATAAAAACAATGTAGGGATGAAAAGAGTGTAGGGATGAAGAGTGTAGGGATGAAAAGAGTGTAGGGATGAAAAGAATGTAGGGATGATAATAATGTAGGGATTTAAGGGATGAAGAGATGTAAGGAATGTAGGGATTTAAGGGATGAAGAGATGTAAGGAATGTAGGGATTTAAGGGATGAAGAGATGTAAGGAATGAAGGGATTTAAGGGATGAAGAGATGTAAGGAATGTAGGGATTTAAGGGATGAAGAGATGTAAGGAATGTAGGGATGAAAAGAGTGTAGGGATGAAAAGAATGTAGGGATGATAATAATGTAAGGATTTAAGGGATGATAAGAATGTAGGGATTTAAGGGATGAGGAAATGTAAGGAATGTAGGGATGAAAAGAATGTGGGGATGGTAATAATGTAAGGATTTCAGGGATGATAAGAATGTAGGGATTTAAGGGATGAAGAGATGTAAGGAATCTAGGGATGAAAATAATATAGGGATGAAAGGGTTGTAGGGATGAAAAGAATGCAGGGAAGTAAGGGATACTGAGATGGCCTTGACCTATAATGAGGGATAAAAGTATATAAATAACTGGAAAAAATAAAATAAATGGGGTCCTCGGCAGAGACCCAGAAGAGGGATACTATCATAAATGTTATTCCCCTTCGATGAGCTTATTTAATAAGCAAGAAAAAATAAATGAAGTAAATTAAATAAACTCTGGAAAAAAATTTTACTGTTTGTGCCCTCTTCATACGGACCTGGTATTATCCCGGGGTATTAGGGACCCCGCTGCGCCAACGACGCCCTGTGCGTACCGACCTAATATCATATTGGGGTATTAAGGACCCCGAAACGCCGGTAACTATCTTTGCATATCAACAATATAGCATCCGGGGTGCCAAGGACCCCGAAGCACCAGTGACTATCTTTGCATACCGACATGACATCAGCTTGGGGTGTCAGGAACCCCGTTGCACCGGTGACACTGTTTGCATACCTACATTTTGGCATCCGGGGTGCCAGGGACCCCGAAGCGCTGATGACACTCTGCTTACCGACACTACTGCATTCGGGGTATCTAAGACCCCGATGTACAGGTGACGCTGCATACCGATATTATGCCACCGGGGTGTCAGGGACCCCGAAGCAACTAGGGAAATATAAGAACGGAAAACGAACAAATCGTGAAACTCACTTGTTCGGGATAGTGATGGGTGCGACTGGATCTGTAGTGCATGCGCACTACAATTATTTATTATACAACAAACTTGTAAATAATTAAGAAAATATTCACTCACAATCAATCAAAAACGATTTACAAACGAAATATACTAAGAAAAATTAAAAATTAACATATTTTATTATTCCTTCCAGATAGCTTCATGTAGGTTACAAAAATTACATCGCCGCGGGGTTCTAAGGACCCCGAAGCACCGCCGATCCTGCATACTAAAATTAAACTGCTTTGGGGTTCTAAGAACCCCGAAGCTCCGATGATTCTGCATACCAAAATGATATCGTCACGGGGTTCTAAGGACCCCGAAGCACCAATGTTTCTGCACACTAAAATTATATCGTCTTGGGGTTCTAAGAACCCCTAAGCATCTATGATTCTGCTTACCAAAATTATATCGTCTCGGGGTTCTAAAGACCCCGAAGCACCGATGATTCTGTATACCTAAATTATATTGCCTCGGGGTTCTGAGGACCCCGGAGCTCCGATGATTCTGCATACCGACATTTTTGCATCTGGGGTGTCAGGAACCCCAAGAAAGTAGCGAAATATAAGACCTAAAAACGAACAAATCGTGAAACTCACTTGTTCGGAATAGTGATGGGTTTGACCGGATCTAGCGAAATATAAGAACGAAAAACGAACAAATCGTGAAACTCACTTGTTCGGAATAGTGATGGGTTTGACCGGATCTAGCGAAATATAAGACCTGTAGAGATGTTTGCCGCCAGAAGGCGCTGTTCCGCAATTAGGGGTGAAATAATAAATAAAAGGATAAAGTAATGGTCGAGGAATACAGGAGTAATAAAGTCAACACGTACATCTTCTTAATGAGTTTATTCAATAACCTAAGGAGATAAATACTGCAAATTATGTTTAAGAATATGTTTAAATAGTATATTGCAATTCTACGCTGTATTGATAATGCAGAGGGTGACATTATCATAATAAAATGTTAGGTTTTACTACTTTGAAGCGCACGTAAATACAAGATTGAAGAACGCACAAACAAAGGGGCCTTAAAAATATAAAGAAAAATTACTTTAAAACATTAATCTGTACTGTGGTAAACTAAAAGACCATTTGTGCAAATATAACAGTTGTTTTTATTTTACAAACGTAGGACGAATAGCGCAGGTCATTACAAAAATAAGATTACAAAATATAATATTTCACTTAAAATTATTACGTAATTATTGCGCGTATAAAGGATAATAAATCTGTTCAATCGTCACAAAATGTGTATTGAATTAGCCAGTATTGCAGGCGTTTCACCCATCTCTTATATCTTTTCCTTATCTTTTAATAACTATTGGACTACCTTTCATACTGTTCATTATGAAAATCATTATTACTTCTTTTGTATTTCTTGAGTATAACAAGATTTACATTTTTAATATGGCTGAATATTTCATTCACAGCACAGTCCATAATAGGAAACACTCTTTTTTACTATTAATAACAATTTTTACTTTTTTTAATGCTGCCTATTACACCATACCTTTTCCCTTTTCCTTTTATTTATATACAAATGAATAAGAAATAAAGAAAAAGGATAAAAATATTAATCGCTAGCATAACAATATTAAATCGAAACATTCTTTTAACACTATAATATATCTTTAATTAACAGGAAAAGAATTGATTATTCAGATAGAAATAGACAACAAGACAATCCCAATTTCTTAAAAAAGAAAACACAATCATCGAATTACAAAAATACTTTCAACGGTATACAATATTTTATCTATAACAAATAACTATATACGTGTATAAAAGGATAATGATATTCAATCAGCCAAGAAATCATTCTTTCTCTTTGAGAATTCCTCGTTGCTTAATAAGGAAACAGAGAGCAAATTCAGATCCTACGGATCTCGATTTCCTACACACAAACATAGCAATCTTGTTATCTTGTCAAATGTATAAAATGTTGTTTAAATTGATTTTACTTCTGAACAACCCTTACACAAAGTATACTCTTATACACGAAATATCGAGACTGAACGTTTTAATTCTGATAAGTTGTTCGCGGAAGAATGCTCAGGCCTACGTATAAGATCAATATTGATAATATAAAAAAGAGAACGAGACAAAGGAAACAATGATAGTGAGAATATGTACCTTAAGGTGGTTTCCAAGATTCCACTTCAAATCTTTTGTTCACTTTTTTTAAAGTTATACGAAACTTTACATACACAATCTATTATGGCGTGTTTAAACTCTTTCCTGCCAACGCAGCTGCTTTGGACAGCACTATTTGAATATCCATTGAAGGAAAATTCTAAAATAAAAATATTGCCGAAATAAGAAATCTCGTTAAACATATTTATTAAATTTGTTTCTCTGTTTACTTACTTGTAAAAGTTTAACGTTTGTAGCAAAATCACCAGCCAGTAATTGGTCCCGCAATAATCTAAACGATTTCTTATAAATATACATTTATATATTCCACAAGTTACTTAGAAGATACTTACAAAATCATGGCACAGCAAATGTGTATCAAGAAACTGAATCTGTTTTCGTCGGCAAACAAGGAATCCCAGATTCTCATTACATCCGGCAAAGGGAATTCTTGTGAAAGTAGAAGCGTCAACCATCTGATGGAAATTTTTCATTTATACGAATAATAATCTTTAACTTATAATATAACTTAAAGCTCTCTACCTAAAGCTGTAATATTGTGGACACAATTCTTGTTGATGTAAGCGCAGCCAAACCTCGGGGTCATTAGCTTTAACTTGATTCGTGAGCTTACTCATCATCGAATTTATTCCAAATTCAGCTTCATCCAGTGATTTGATAAAAAAGTCACGAATTTCACTCATCAAATTTGTAAAGCAGAAAAAAGTATCTGCCTCTGCATGTTCTGTATAAAATTTATAATTAATATACGTAATATAAACAATATTTGTATCAAGCATGTCATTTATTGAGTTACCTCTCCATTTCTGATCAGGATCACAAGCAAAAGCGTGATAAATAGGACCAACAATTTCATTCATTCCTTGCACATACCCTTGACCTGGATTTAATTTAGCATAAAGAAAAAGTATTCTTTCTAAGACTTCCCAATGTGCCTCACCACCCTCGGCGAGCGGTGCATAATCTTCTGCAGCTTTTCTAATGGAAACTGCTATCTGCAAAGGGGTAAAATAATTATTTAAAAGGTTTAAGATAATGTATTAAAATAACTAAACGGCGTTACCTGCTACTTTCCATCAGCATAAAAATATAAGGAATCAAAATTAGTTGGGTCTTTCTCTTGTATTATCATTAAGTTTATTTACCTTAGTAATACCAAGTCCTTTTCTCTCCACATTTGCACTTCTTAAGACTGTATGCTGCACTCTATGGTGCAAACGTTTTTGCCCACTTGCATTTACAATTTCTTCACAAGGGTAATCAGTACCTTGTTGGAAGAATGATATGTCTGGACAAAGTCTCCTATAAAAGATTTATTTTATATTTTTTAACATAATGATACTATATATGATGCAAAATTTACCTAACATCTTTATCTATTTGCAAGAGAACTTCATTGTCTTTAAAATAAGTTTGCCACTTGCTATCAGGATTTAAGTTTAAAGGATGATCGTGAAGCGTAACATCCATTCTCTCTCCATCTGTATTAGCTTCACCTGGTGTTACAATGAGATCCTCTGTAAGCAGTGTACACTTATTATTAAATAATCTTTATATATTTATATATTTCAAATAAAGTATAATTAATACTACCAATGAAGGTTTTATAAAGTATCCTTTTGCGCATGAGAGTTTCAGACCAACTGGCCCTTGTTGGAGGTAAGTAATTTAATAAAAGTTTCCAACATAATGGTCTTAAACTGCCTTCATCTGGTATTCCTGAAACAATTAAATAATTTATAAACTACTGTTCAATTAATAAAATTTATTTTCCACTAAAAAGTCACAAGTTTACAATACATAAAGAAATGAACAAAGGAGTATAAGAATACTTACCATGGAAGCACAATTTTTTGAGACTAACGAGATCTATTTCCTCAGCGTTCAAAACATCGTCGAACTCGTTTAATCTAAAATAAATATTTTCAATGAAAAATTGTCAGCTTATTTAAATCCGGCACGGTATATACCTTTTTCGCAAGATACTCATTGTGAGCGTGCACGGCACATGCAGTAGTTAACGAGAAATTCACAATGTTCTTATCGGCATTCGATAGGACGTGTGGGCGTACAGCGATGCCCGTTTCTCACATTATTGTCAGCGGCCTAATACAGTGACAGACGAACTAACCGCCATTATTCTCTCACACATTCGATTGTTTTTTTATGCGAAACAATGATTCAAACGTCTTATCTCATCGTCAGGGTGTGGAGAAATCTTTCTTATCATTACAATATGGCACTTTATACTCGTGACTACTAAGCACGCGAGCTATAGTTTCTGCACGAGTTAATTTAATTCTATCCTAACCTCTTTGACACATAAATGGCTTGGGAAAGAACAAGATTCTCTTTCCTATTGATCTAATTCCTCTCTCGTCAAGTTACATTGTAACAAAACAATAACGATAAGTGTCATATCTGACACTAATTGTATCTTTTGCGCGCGAAAATTGGAAGCTATTTATATACATTGTATGTACCGGAACATCGCTACACGAGCGCTTGTAAAAAATAAATTTCACTTGGATCAAGGATTTAAAAATTTTTATCATATCCAAGAGAAAAAATTAAAAAGAAATTTATTAGATTTAATTTCGTAAGAGAGAAAGCATTTTTTCGTAATTTTAGGAAATATTTGAAATGATAACGCAAGGGACGATGGGTAATCATTAGAATTATCAAAAACAATAGTTTCCTTTGATAAGAGAGACAATAATTGTTATAAATAAAAAAATATCTACCATGATCGTGTTGCTTGGTATTTTTCGATCGAATTCCTGCAATGACCCCTGATACTGAAACGATTAATTTAAAGGATTGTGTAAACCGAGAAGAGATAAGGAAATCGCAGGAGCGGATACGAAAGACATAAGATGGGCTAACGTTGTTTATTACTTTTTGTATTCAAGGTATCTCGAATGAATTATTACAAGCAATAATATAATCAAAGATAATGAATAAAAAGCGATGAAACTAAACATTAGATGTTACACTTCATTCGTTATTGGTCACATTATCTCATTCTCGAATGATTGATTTTATTCGCATTTTTATGGTTCTTCTTCTGTCTCTTTTTCTCTCCATTTCCCTCATACAGACACATATACACACGGATACATACTATTTCATTCTCTCCCTCTCTCTATCTCGTTCTCTCCATTAATAATTTGTACTTCTCTATTGGCGCAATCTCTTGCCTCTCTAGTTTCTAAAAAAACCGGTCGATTGCTTCACCAACGTCGACAGATTTGCGAGGTTTTACTATACGTTATCTTTATGACGATTATAATGTCGATAAAACGGTGCGACTCGATTATCAGTTATCCATGCGGCTCGATAAATCGTGATTAATTAGCGACAGAGGGTGAAAACGATTCCATGTAATATAAGTTAAATTTCGATCGATTAACACCTTCGTACCCGATCGAGTATATCTATTTTATCGACTAACCATCGCCTCGAATTTAATGTATTTGAATAATTGGTAAGAGAAAGGAGTATAAATTGAATCGGATCGCACCGTAACGACGTCAACGGGTTCGGCTCAATAAAATTTGGTTAATTAACAATAAAATAAACGTTTAGTCGTAATAATTCTCTTTTTACCAGTCGATAATAATTATACACTGTCTTTCTAAATATAATGGTTACGTGGGAATATACAAAGTATATAGAAAATGAAGGAAATGTAAAATGATTCTCCCTCCTATTAATTAAAATGCTTCGGTTTTTCTGAATACCTGAACTTATCGCATAATAACTAGAAAACACACCAACAATTTTAAGACGCGTTCTAACAAAGTAGTTTTATTTCAGTTTCGAATATAGACATCCTGAGAAAAATTAATATTTAATATTTTCAATAATCCATGTTATTCTGTGCCATAAATGTGTCAACAGTTCAAGTCAGAATTGAAAATAGGAGAATTATCGAACGCGTCTTAAAATCGCCAACAGAATCATCAATAGATACCGTCTGTTTAATATCCTCGTTACTTGTAATCGTAATGTACTGTTTACCACGTTGGTATAACGATAAATCAATAATGCAAATAGTACGAAGACTTCGTTTCTCCCACTGTCAGGAAGTTGACTTACATATAACAATAAAACATTGCACTTTCACTTGTCGCCATATATTTATTCTTTCCTTTCTCGCGATTCTGTCATTCGTTACTCTTTTTCTCTTATTATTGCTGATCGACGCGGTGCAACGTTTCATCGCTGTCTATACAATAATACGCTATTTAATATAATAAATTATCTTTCATATAGTTGTAATACATTATCCGACAAGATAATATATTATTCTCGATTAGTATTTCCTCTTACAACGCGAGCACGTGGCGGCCGAGTTCCCGTATCTGAAAGTCCAATCGTTTTTAAAACCTTTTTTTTTTTTTCATATTTTTCAAACAATCAGACTTCGAACCCGTCGCGTTTGCACGAAACATCCGCTCTGAACCCCTTTCGTTCGTCGATGTAGTAACCAAATACAGCTTAAACTCTATCGATCGACCCGAGCGAACGAGAAATCGCCGGAAATGGCGCAAATCATCGAGGACCGTCTTGTTCCGGCTCAACACTGTTACTGATACTATCGCAGTTTATATATTTTCTTCACTTACTCGGAACGCTTCTTAACCTTCTGAGGACAAAGCATTACTAACCTTGACACGATGTATGCAAAGAATATTAATAATTTAAAATAAAATAAGTAGTCGTTCTGTCCCCACTTACAGGGGTGAGGGAAATGAAGACGGGATGGACATTTCTAATTGACTCGGCAAAAGTCGGATGCACTCGGTTCCCGATTCTCTTGAGCTGTGGAACCGAACACTGCCGATTTTTGTCGAGCCGACTCGATCTCGCCCGAAGTTTTCCGTTTCGTCCCGAAGTACAAAACCTTGAAACTCAAGATGATCCACACACCTTTAATGTACGAAATTATACATTACTATGATAATTCTGTTCGCAAAGAGTTAATAATTATTTTCATACGATGCAGAGGTGTGAATGCGAGGGAATAGCTCTGTTTTTAAATTGTAATTTTGAAAGAGTAAAAAAAGGAAGTTGGCAGGAAAAGTCGGTCCTGTTTTCCGTGGTTCGCTCGAGCCGTTTCAGTGCAGTCAGTGTATTTTCATTTCTTTCTTAATTTTTACGTTTTTCTTTCTTAATTACGACGCTTAGAGTTAACCATTTCCGCTTGCACGCCTACATACGCTCTTTCTTTTTCTCATTTTTCATTCATAGACACATGTACATACACTTATATTTTCAAGCATTCATTTTCTTATCTCGTTTCATTCGTTTCGATCACACGCTAGAGTTCTATCTAATTATCGCGTCCGTTCTTCCGTTTCCGCTTATTCGAAGAAGGAATGCGATTTTTTGGATACCTCTCTGGTTTCCTTAAATCTTATACTTCGACGATTCTCTTAATACTTTGACGACCGGAATAATTCTCGTTGGAAGTCATTGTAGCTCTTGTTAATCCATAGACCCGTAGCTTGATCAATTTGAAAACTCAATTTCTGATTAAATCAAGAATTCGGCGTTTAAAACATACCGGTCTATGGATTAAATAAAGATTCGTTGAAAATAATGCAAATTATGGTAACGCGTGCTACTCTTTATGTCTACTGCTAAATCTATGGTGGCGCTACTGAATCAGCAGTCGAGTGTCGATCGAGAGAAATAAATAATTTGATGATTTTTTTATATGGATGAACGAGATAAAGAATGATTATTTCGTCTTTTATTTATTCTCAGTCAATATAAAAGGAGGTGTACGTTGTTCTAGCGTTAAAATTCTTCTCTCTCTTCCAGTAAGTAGGTGAAGGGCAGGGGGCGCCTAGTCCCCCCCAAAAGGGTGGACTGGCTCTCTTAAAATTCTAGAATTAAAAAAATTCCAGAATTTCAAACTTTCTATAAGCCCGATCCACCCCAGAAAAATCCTAGTTACGCCATTGCTCTCTTCTGCCATTAGAAGCTACACTCGACAAATTATACTAACAAGTCGACTTGCTAATCATCGCTCAGTTCCAGCGAGATTCTACAAAAAATAATACCAGATCATATATGTCTAAAAATCATGATACTCATTTTCCCTGCTCTTTCGAGTATCGGATTTTATATTCTTCTTTTTTCCATTATCTAACTACGAGCAGGTTGCGTGGTTTTAATATTATTTCCCACGCCATTTTCTTCATCGAATCAGGCCTGTTTTTTGTCCCGAAGTATTTTTTCAAACAATTTACACTCGGGACACAGACCGTCGAGAGCCTAATTGCGATTCAAAATCGACTAGCCTAATAAATTTCTTGGCTCGAGACGATCAATTTTCGCGACCAGAACTTTAATCGACGATTTAATTCGCTCATCTCGCCAGCCAAATTCAATTTTACGCGCTTCTCGTTTTACTAACAGCGATAAGGTACAAAACGAACGAAATAAAAGCGACAAACTACTTTAAACTTATGATGACCATAATTACGTTATTTCTTCCCTTTTCTTCCTCCACCCTCCTTCCCGTCCCTTTTAATTTATGTACAATTACGTCCTCGAAATTGACTCGAATTCTTTTCAACAATCTTGCATTGGTATAAATTGTCTTGAATCGCATTAACCCTTTCGCTACTAAGGGTGACTGCAAAGACATAATATAAATAAAGTGAAAAAAAACTTAAGAATTAAAGTAACTCTATGTGGCAAGTCGGAAGAATTTTATTAAATATTACTATAGCAAAAGGGTTAATAGATAATTTTTACAATCATTTGTATGCTTTCTCAATTGATGATTGCACTTAATTGAACTGATCGTTGAAATGTGCTCGAGTAGTGTTTACGATCGATCAATGTTAATCGATGCAGTCGTGAACGAATGGATTGATTTTTAAGATCGAAAAACGTGATTGTTTTGGCAACGAAATAATTCAGGTAAAAGATGTATTCTTTTGTACGTAGTATTCTGTAATGTTTTTTTTTATTATTATTTTCTTCCCATTTTGTAAGAACTTGATATATTTAAAATTGTTAAAGACTCGCACAATTTATATTGCACTTGTATAAGTTTCAGTAGGTTTTAGACGTTCGTAGAAAACATTGTCACAAATAACTGATGTTCTCATCGCATCTAGTGTGAGCTGCAATGTTAGGCACTTAACATTGTCACCTTTGTTACATGCAGTTTAAGATTAATCTGATGAATCATGAATGATTTTTAAGAAACTCGTAGAAAAAATGATCTTTCACCCTATATTAATCCAGTCAGCTCTAAATATTTTGTTTAACCTTTATATATCCACTTAGAAAAATCGTACATTAGAAATTTTAACCAGATTTGAAGTATCCTTACAGGGAAATAGAAATCGATGAAATCGTTTTAAACGATTTTTATTCCCTTTCAGGACCAATAAAACGACAGTCTTTCTAGATATGCGCAGAGTTCGACGTTTCCAGGTAAAAATTCCCTAGTTCCACTCTCTCTCTATTGCTAAAACCACGTGTGTTCTGTCTAAATATTGGTAATTATTTCTATGATCGTTGGCACTAAATGCCCTGTCAATTCGACAAGAATGCATCGATTATTGAATTCGATCTAAAAGATGGACACGCAGTAATTAAATCTTCGAGCATACACGCATGCACACCCTCGTCTTTTTTTTTTTTTTTTCGTTTCGTAAAGGACACACTTTAATATCTCGCACATCAATAAGAAAGAATACTGTTACGATGAATTGTTTTAAATTTATATAAGGAACACGATTAAATAGATTTTTGAAATTCCACTAATAAGAAATTTGCACTCTTAGAAGGGATTGATTTTCTTTTCGGATCGAAAAACAATACTGCTGTACCATTGCAAATTTATTTACTTTTTTAATCATCTTTTTTTCTCCGTTACGTGAACATGTTAACAGAAATATCGTTTACGAAAAAAAATAAATAAAACTGAAAAAGAAAAAACGTTTGAGGAGTCTTCCTCCTCCCCTGATGCGGTATCGATTACAAAATCAAATCTTAAGAATCCTACAATTACAAACTAGTTTATCGAAATAAAGAAAAGAAAAGAGAAGAGAAGAAAACAACAGAAACATCGTTACGACAGTATTCTTTCTGCTGTGCGATTTCTCGTTTCAGCCTTTCGTCTAGAAAAGTTTAAAAAAACCTTACATGAAATTTCATTTCTTCAGCAGGAGCGTGCAAGGTTATGGCGGGTCGGAAACTTCGGATTGGTTCGGCAAAAATCGAACGCGCTCGATTTCAAGGCTCGAAAGAACCGAGAACCGAACGCGTCCGATTTCTGTCGAACTGACCCGAAGTCAGACCGCGCTTATCCGACGTCGTCCGAACTTCTCCGACCCATCCCGAAGTACGGCTTTTCAAACACACCTCTGTTCTTTAAAAATATTTCTAACAAATTGTCACTTGAAAATGTTTCTGAATCGAAATAAATTAAAAATGATTTATAGTATCTTGTGAGATTACGTTCGAACGGCTTCGAAATAAATTAACGACGATAATAAGAAAAAGATATTGACAATACGTCTCCGATTTGAAATAAAAATCGCAGAAATGTCGTATCGATTGAATCAATGAATTCTCCTAAAATTATGGTATTCGAAGCGTTAATAATAATTAATGAAACGATATTCACGCGTTCTGACACTCATTCATTGTTCTCTCTTAGCTTGCACACGCATACACACTCGTAAAACACACACACGTGGGCTGTTTTATCAGTTTCTTCCCTTTCGTTACGCGAATCGATTACAAACGAGTACATTCAACTCAATGGCAGTCTGTGTTTACTTGATGCAGGCAGCGTTTACGACGTGCAAAGGCATCCGTTGTTTCCCATTTCTCTCTTTTTTTCTCGTTCTGTGTTTCACACGTGGGAATGCAAATGCACGCGGCAAACGCAGCTTGAACTTGAGGAACTTTTTCTTCTTTTCTCTTCACTGTTTTTCCTTTCTTTGTTTTCTGTTCAAATTACGATTAATTATTCTTGTCGAGCACAGTGGAACTTTGATTATCTGAACACCATTATTCCATCAGAATGTTTCAATGTTTTCGACGACTTTTCCTTCGTTTTTTATTTATTTATTTTTTTTTTAAATTCCTGTCGCAGTGAAACCTCGAAATTCATAAAAATCCTCCTACCTATATCAGCGCGTGATACAAGTTTAAAATTACACAGAATAAAACTTCGCAAAAGTTTTGTTAATTAAAACTTTCCATGTATAAAATCTACACGTTGTGGAATAAATAAATTGCGGTTACGAAAGTCACAATCGCTTCTGGTTCTTAGTATGTTCATTTATTCTGAATCATAAAAGACTGGATTTGAATATAGTAGTCTTAACAACGGATAATAACATCGGTGTGTCTTCTCGCAACGCTTATGAATAATTAAAAAGTACAAAAACGAAAGGTCCGATATTGCATGTAGTCTTGCAAGAGAACCGTCACAATTACTAACATTTATTAAAAATCTTAATTTCCTTCATCATTGAAATAAAAAGCTTGTTACCATCGAATAAATAATATACACGTACAATAATCGAGGTTTTACTGCGACTTTACCGTCGATAGATAATTATAATTAAAAAAGAAAAAGAAATAATTCTTCCTATCCATAATACTGTTACAATGTCCCCTTCGCGAATCTTTGCAATCTTTTCAGGATATTAATTGGACGGTGCTTCGAACAAATTACATCGTCTCGATCGACCTTCACAAGATCGCTACGAATAAACCCTTGAACGGCGAACCATGGAGAGAGCCCCAATTTTAATTTAATTTCATATTTTATATTAATTTAATTTTCTTAATTTTACATTGTTGCTTTGCAAATTATCTTATTAATATATGAAATTTATTCAATTCAATTTGGGTCACTATTGACCCAGGCTTCGCCGTTCAAGGGTTAATCGATTAATTTCTGAAATATTAATTGAAGAAAACGCGAATAATGCCCAACCAGATCGCGCGGAGTTTCCGGATTTTCTTTTCGATCAAAAAAGAAAAAATGAATGATTTACACGTTATTTCGTTAAAAGAAAAAAAAAGGAAAAAGAAAAAGAAAAATGAAACTTCGATTGCTCTACACAGTTAAACCAAATCGCAATATCGTTTACTGTCGCACCCTTCCTCTCTTAATCGCTACTCAGTTCTGTTCTCGAAAACAAGAATTTCCGGAACTAGCGATCTTCCGGTTACGCTATCTACCATCTTTCCGCTACTTCTAACTCGTTCTCTCTAGTTTTTCGTTCACGCCATCTTTTGCACGCTTCTTTGCAACACGCAGAAAAAAACACTGTGGCCGCATTTTATCACCCTACGACTTACGCTATACACAGTGTACTTTTTTCATCATTTTTTTTATCCGTCGTTCTCTTTGGGCACGTGGCGACCGAAAGCGCGATAGAAAAATAATCACCGTAGTCGATTGATTGATCGATTGCTTCGCCTACGCGGAGGCACACGCAGTTACCCCCTCTCCGTTCGAAATCTGAAGCGCGGGAAATTCGAAAACGGAAAGACACGAAACGAACGTTCTATCGTCGTTCGCGTTCTTTCCACGAGGCAATAAGCCCAATATTATTAGTATCTTTTATTCGAGAGGGGTAGCTTTCAGTCGCCATTTGCCGCGTAAAGAGTACAAATGAAAATTATCCTTAGCAATAAACTCCTCGTTTTCTAATTAATTCATAGTCACTCGCTATCCGCACAGCCACGCTCGCCTAAACGTTAAAAGGATTCTTATTTCTTTTTTTTTCTCTCTCTCTCTCTCGACATCCTCCTCTCGATCCTCCTTTCTTCTACTTATTTACCATTTCTCTAGCAACCTGTGTTTTTTTTTTTTTTATTTTAAGTTTATTCGTTTTTTCTTCGCTTCTCTTAACGCGAAGTGTAAAGAAGTTATAGGAGCCATTGTTTCGTGTATATATTTTCTATATATATATATATATAATATAATTTATATATAGTCAACGATTAAAAAAAAAAAAAAAGAAAATAAACCGAGCCTCGGTTCTCGTCACGGTGATAATCGGAGGGGGGGAAAACGTTGAATTCTGAAGTGGCTGTTCGATTGTACCATTTCCTGTTTCCTTTCTCTACATTTCTCTCAATGTACGATTATATATGAACCTGTTTTTTAGTCGCGACAGAAGCACCACTCGAAAATCCGTCATTAGTTTTTATTTTTTTTTTTTTGTTCATTCGTCACTCTGTTTCTCTCTCCTTTTTTTTTGTATTTTTTTCAATATTTTTTTTTCTTACGCTCTTTGGACCCGTACGTGGTGCAAATTGAAAACTTTCTTTCTATTTCGTGAACAATTTAAAAAAAAAAAAGAAATCGTTTACGCTGACGTGTATTCCCGAAACGAATGAATTCACTAGTTTTCATGGAAACGGATAAAAAGTTACACGTCAACGCGTGTAGGGAAGAAAAACATGATGGGGCCCATCCACGCACTAGCTCACAAACTTACAGTCTATCTTAGCATCCCTAAGAGCTTCGTCTCAACTTAAAGAAAGAAGAAAAATGAAGAAAGAAAAAATAATTATCCAGATTGAAAACGAGAGAAAAAAAGGAGTTGCACGAAGCCTTAGGAAGGTTAAGGCTTGTTTCTCTAAAACTGTAAAGTCTAAATGCTCGTAAAAGTAATTCTGTGTAAATGCGCACGCATGATGTGTGTTTGTATAGATTTTTTTGTTCTTTTTTTTTTCTTTCTTAATAATTAGACGCAATGTATGCGCGCAATATTCTCGTATACATCGTAACGCGCTTATCCACGAGTACATGGAAGCGCTTGAAATATTTTTTTTTTTTTTTTCAAACATTCAACCCGTCCCTTGTTATGCCTACGGGGAAACACGTACACCCGCGATCAAATCAGGCTTCAAAATCCTAATTTCAACGATATTAATATTAAAAGTGATTTAGAGACAAAATAATGTGATTTTAAATAATTAAATATTATAAGATTTAGTATATAACTGAAAGGTACGAATAATGAAGAAAATTTGAATTCAAATTTTTCCGCCACAGAAAAACCAAGGAAGCCCACGCAGAGAAGGGCGATAGGGCGTCACATCTTTTTTTTTTCCTGAAGAAGCCTAATTTGATCGCGAATATACGAATCGGATTTCTTAATTTCTAATCAAGGAACAGACCTCTTTCTCGCTACAAACAACGTCGTTCTTAAGCTCCTCGAGTTCTGTTCGCAAACAATTCTGAAATTCCTACGAGACGCGTTAAAATCGTTCCAGACGTATCAAGGAACGCGTTGAGGATAAATTGAAATAAATTTGTCTTGTACGCGTGATCACGCATTCAGAGCCGAAAGAGGGGAGATCTCGATCGCGCGCATACACGCGATTCAATCCGGAAAAAGAAAAGAAAATTGAAGAATACAAGAAAAACCGATGGTCGTTCGCGAAAGAAAGGCTGCGAGATTCGCTGGAAAAATCGTCGAACTGTTTTGTAATCATACTTTAATGTACACGTATATATATATATATATTAAAAAAAAAAAACAAGGGAGAGAAATGAAAAAAAAAAAATGGGAACACTATGAACAATGAAAGAAACTCGCGTCTCGACTTTTTAGGCCCTCGTGCGTCCTCGCGCGAACATCGACATCGAGATTGCAATTTGTACACGGCGCCCTTCGTAAGGGCGTCCTCGAAAGAGAATTAGATACAATATATCAAAGTTTTAATTACACTTGTTTTGTCTGTTCGAAGTTCACCTACATAGAAAATCGTGGATCGTTCTTCGTATCTGTCGCGATGCGTTCCCCGGGTCGTTATTTGGTCGCGTCACGATGAACGGAGCGTAGGGGCTGGGGGTAGGGAAAAAAACGTCGAAAATCGTAGAAAAACGATGAACACGTGATAGAAAAAAGAGGGACGCGTTGCAGATACGAAGAACACCTTGCCTATCCATTCTCTTTCAATCCTTTCGCGTCCTCGTCTCGCAAAGAAGCTTATTCGTCGTACGTTTCCTTCGCGTAACGTATGCAACATAGCTAGAGTAGGTTTATATACACACAGTACAATTACGGATTAGCGTTTTCACATTTATCATACCGATAGACAATATTTAATAACTTGCTTGTATTTCAATCGTGTACTTGGCTAACACTTCCTACCTTATCTAACTGTTAAACGTTAACTAAACTCTGCTTAACCGTATGCCTCTCTTCTTTTTTTTTTTTATTTTTTAATCATAGGCAATACTCGCGCGCATTATTCGAAAAAAGAAAAGAGGGGGGAAAAAAGAGATAAACTCAACGCTTGCTATTGGTTCGTATGGGTGACATCAGTCCGTTTCGAATGGAAATGATTGAAAAGGTGAAGAAGTGTGGTGCGTAACAGAAAAGAGAGAGAGAGATAGATATATATATATATGTATCGGCCGATCGGTTCGTCCAGCTCGGGGACGATCGTTCCTCCCCTCGAAAGGCACGAAAAAATCTTCAACTCCGAATCTCGATCATGAGACGTTCATGAAAATGATCGAGGGTGCGTGAGGGGATGGCGCGATTGCTCCCAGTGTTTCAGCCTTCTGCGTTTCGATTACAAATATCTTTTGAGATCGGGGATGGACGAGAGGGTATGCGGGGGTGGTTGTTTAAAAAAGTGATAGAAAATGTCAGTTGGCGAGCCGATAATTGTCGAAAGGGGTTGAACGATCCTCGAACACCGGTCCACGTCGGACGCACCGATCAGCCCTCGCTAAGCTACGAAGGAACAAAAAAATCTGATAACTCGATATTTGGCACAGATTAAACGGCGAAATTCCTCTCGAGCGGCTGAACAAATGCTTCTGTCGAGCAAGCGTTGCGATTCTTAATGTGTGTCAAATATTAAGCATGCGGCGTGTGTACATCTTATATATACATATACATATGTATGTGATGCGAGTGTACTCGTGATTTCGTGTATCAAAAATCGTCTCTCGTTCTCTCTTTGTTTGCTAGCAATAAAAAAAAAAAAAGAAATTATATAATTGTACAGCGAATCGTCGGGCATGGTCGCAAATGTTTCCTTTTTTTTCCAATATATACTTTCGCGGGGGAGGAGCGTACTCTATTACACATCTCTGCTGTGTATATACGTATATATCGTGTGTACATATGTATACATCGGTACGATACAGCATACGCAGCCTTACGATCTAGGAATAATTATTATTTTATCGTGGTAGCAAATCGCCTTAAGTCTAGAGAACAAGAAAGGAAAAAAAAAAGGGAAAAAAAAGAACACGAATGAAAATCCTGCCTCGTAACACGAGAAGAAACGCCCACCTTCGGCTGTGTCCCGATTCGCGAAGGGACAAAGGGGGCGCTGCTGTCGGAGTCTGACGATTTGATCCGGTGGGACGGGAGGGGGATGCGAGAAAGGAGAATCCCTCGAAAGAAGATTCCGGGGAGAACGTGGATGCGCCTCTCGAAAAGAAAAAAAGAAGAGATTCGACGATGATTCGAGAGGGAAAATATATTTTACAAGAAACCGGTGGGGACAGGGCGGGGGAGAGGGAAGAAGAGAAAAAAAATAAGAAACAGGACAGGGCTGTGAAGAGGAAAACGTATCGACGACTCGGTGGCGAGAATCCTTTCGTCGAACTTCGACGTTAAGCCCTACCTTCGTTTCGAGTTTCACCCTGACCGAGCACACGCATAAAGAGGGTATGCGACCGGATCGAACTCGCTCGATCTGTCTCGTTGCGATTTAACCGCGATTAAGTCGCAACCAGCTCGACCCTGTCGAGGAACAACGCACGTTTATCTCGAACGAAAACAACAACAGTGGTATGGATTTAAAAAACGAATGGCTCGGTCAGGTGGTCGAAGCAAAGGCGGACCAGCCGGGCAGTAGGAACATACGAAAACACCGACCGGACACTGATTAAAACGTCAGCCGGTGGTTACACCGAACAAGGAGCCGCCTGGCAGGGTTGATCCTCGAAGGATAACCCTTCGACGACTCAAGTGTCCATGGTGAGAACGTAAACTGTATACATCCTTGTGCATCATCTCTCATCATTTATAATCCTCGTCTCTCAGCTACTTAACACGTACGCGCGTCTAACACACATTCAGAAGGGAAATTCGAATCATCCTGTTGACGTCTGGTCTCCTTCTATCAGCGAATTTGTCGCGGAAAATTGTTCGTTACTCTCGAGCGGAGGCGAGTTCGCCGCGGTGAGCTCGCGTTCAGTTTGCTAATCGCGACGCGCCTTTCGATCACGAATGCTTCACCACGATCACGCCGGGTCGCTGCTGGGCCTGCTGTTGTTGCCTGTGGAACTGGAGGAACTCGGCCTGGAGTAGCCGCTGCTTCGCCACCGTCGACGAAGAGGTCGTCGTGCTGCTCGTCGTCGAGCATTTGTTCGACGTGGTCACAACCACTGCCGCGGTCTGTTTGTTGGTTAACGCCAGTGGCACATCCTGCGCCGGCTCGTCGCTGAACAGATGATCTCCCTCCAGATGACGTATCGCTTCGACGATCGTCTCCAGGTTCTGTCGAGAGGTCGAGTTCCCCAGGTACAGCCTTGCCTGAGGAGAACCGTCGTCCAGGGTGTTCGATGGCGACGGCAACCTGTGATCAGGTTAAAAAAATTTTTTTAAATACATCATTTGTTATTTTGCGTTAGTTCAAATTATATTGACGATAAGAATGCTTACCTCTCGACCTCGACCTTAGGCTCGGCTTTCATAGCCGCCTCCAGGACGCTAGGTAACCGTTGAGGTTCCGCGTCCGGCGAGAATGGCCTGGTAGGGCTACTGGTGATGTATTCCGGCGACTGGGTTTTGAAATCCCCTATACTGGCGGCGTACGTGACGTGACTCGAGAAGGAGTCCGCGGTGGTCGGCTCCTCGATCGCAGTAAACACCTGGTTTTGACTGAACGCGACGATCTTCGGACTCTCCGGCCCGGCTTCCTCCTCTTTGATCTCCTCTGTAACCATGTCGGCGGGCTGCGGAGACAGCGACGGTGAACTCGGGTCTGGACTAGACGATTCCACGGTCTGCGTGGAGCCAACCGGTGGCATGGATACCACGGAAACTACCTGGAGCGCGGCGACCGCTTCCTCGGTCTCCTGAGCGATCACGTTGTCCGTGTGTTCGATCACCTGTGTCGGCATTTCCATCAAAATTATCATTCAAAGTTCCTAAACTTCAATAATTGAAACCTACAATAAATTATTAAAAAACTTTTCAGAATAAAGCTTAAATGAACTACTTGAAAGTTATTGGTTCTGATGCGCACGCGCCATCTTAGCTGCCGCGCATGCGCACAGGATCTTGACTCTCGCGCATGCGCACTACATACATTTAAGTTAAAAAGAAGCGAAATTTTGTACTCCTGTTATTTATTAAAATTAAAATGACGTTTCTGCTTAAGATAATTAATCAAAATACCTCGTGCGGTTGATAAGTGATCAGCTGATTGTCCCGAAATCTTTCTGGGTACAGTTGACTTTGTATAGCTCTCATCTGCTTCTCCAGATGCAACCTCGCGTGGCGTTCTCTTTCCAACTGTCGTCTCAGCTCCACTACCTCGCTGTTGACCACGGAATGTCCCTCTGTGGTCACCGTGATTACCGACAACGGTTCCGGAGACATGCTGCCCAATCCTTCGTCACCGCTCTCGCTAACGTGCATCGGTAGGCTAACCACTACTCCTCCTGACAAACCAAATCAAGAATACGTCTACAACATGCATTTCCAGTTAATAATAAGAAATCATCCCCTTTCCCAATCGGACCAGGAAGCTTGAAATTTTAATCGAACCGCGATTAAACCGAACGAGAGTAAACGAAGTTTCGATCCGATCGATCGGATTGTGATTTTTTGTTCCCTCTTGAATATCCGGCGCGGAACGGTCGACCTCCAGGAATGTAATTACTCTCGCGAAAATGACGAACGACGCCTTCTATATTAATCTCCACGCCACTTTCGATCCGACAAATTAAAAAATTCCTCGACGAATGTTCCCGATGAGTCAGTAGCGCGAAATAAGTTATTCCGATTATGCCTGCTGAATTAGTAACTCTCTTCTCCTATTACGTTCAAATCTTTCTAAATATAAAAAATAAGAATAAATAAAAAAGAAATATAAACCTTGACTTTCCGGCTTGCGTTTCTTAGTCGGTACATCGCCACCCTCGTGCTGATTGACCAGTCGTTTCAGGTGACAGTTCTGTGAAAGCAGCTGGGTCTTTTCTTGCTCCAGCTGGTAAATGTATTCGGCGGTCTGCTGTAGTATCGCAGCCTGGAAGCAGAACAATTAAAATTCATAAGACTGTGTGTCGTTGGCTCGATCGAAGTTCATTTAAAAAACGAAACGAAAAGTGGGTCGCATTGACCAAAGAATCGAGGCTAATGATACGCAGGTAGCAGGTGTATGCTACCTAAGTATTATTTATATGGAGGGTCAGAAAGGGAGGATACTTCCTGTTTACAATAGCACGAGCTTCTAGGGTGTTCTTTTTTTTTCGTTATTTTACTCTGGGGAGACCACCATGGGTCTGCCACGAGTCGATAACATCCGGAAAACGACTATCGCGTGTCGTGCGTACGCACGTAGTACTCTCGTGTACCTACTACGACGTAGTAAAACGGGAACTGGTCTGCTGGAAGAAGCAGCGAAAACAAAAGGGCCAAATGATACCGGGCCTCGAAGGTAACGGGCTCTCGGTTGTACGTTTTGCACCTGCCGACAGGTGGCCACCGAACAGATGCTCCTGATCCTTAAACTTCCTCACAAACACCAACATCTTATACTGTTTTCTTTTTTCAAATCTTTTTTTCAAAGCTTTTCGAGCTGTTTTAAATATAAAATTGCAAAATTCATCGATTCCATATAACGATTAATTTTCTACCTCTCCAAATTATTTCTCAAGAAATAAACAACATTTATCGTGATTCTGAACAATACTGTACGACGAGTTTTAAATACAGCACAATTTGTTACCGATAATAATAACCGGATGTTTTTCAGAAAACCGGAAACGAATTTTTGCTCAAATAGCGTTGAAAAGTGTCGTTAAATTAATTAAAGGTCAAAGCGTCTTCCGAGACCGAATAATAAGATGGTGCCGAGGTCCGAGATATAATGGAGCCGAGCGCGACGAAAAATGGTCAAAGTGTGAGAAACGTGGACACGGTCGTTTCTCGTTCGCGAATTTTTGGAGAAAAATGGAAAGTGAAGCAACGAAGGAGAATGAAACGTACGAGGTCGAAGAAGTGTTTCACAAAGAAAGTGTTGGAACCGATAAAAATTATAAACACGAGTATCTTTGGACACACATAGTGGCTCATAGTATTCTTCAAATTGGATGGTTAATTGGAATCTATACCACGTTTGTCTATGCTAAAGCGGCCACCATTTTATGGGGCAAGTAAAATTCATAATTTCACTAACAATTAAGAAAATATAAAATTGAATAATTAATATTTTATTAGTCTCATTTGTATCATTAACTCTTTAGCTATTTTAGTCGTTATTCTACTTTTTCTTTTCAATTCCAGCGGTTTTCGTTGGATTTTTGGCGGGTCAAGGAGTAGGGATCGGGGCGCACCGTGGCTACTCTCATAAATGCTTCAAATCGACCCTTCCTTTAAAAGTGGCTCTACTCGTCTGCCAAACAATGGCAGGCCAGGTAAAAATAATTTTCTACACTCTTTTCTGACAGCTATAACTTTATACGAACCCGAAAAATTAATTTCAGAATAGTATGTTCACTTGGTCGAGAGATCACAGAGTTCATCACAAATACAGCGATACTGATCTAGATCCTCATAACGCAAACCGAGGATTGTTCTTCTCCCATATAGGCTGGATGATGGCTAAAAAACATCCATTACTGAGAAAAAAACAGATGGAAATTGACGTTGAAGATTTATTGCAGGACAAACTGCTCATGTTTCAGCACAAGTAAATATAAAACAGTTTTTAATTTTTTAATTTGTACATTGAAATTAAATTAAATTTATTGTGTTGATTACAGGTACTTCGTCTATTTATATGTTCTATTGGCAGTAATAATTCCAGTGGGAGTGCCAATATATTTTTGGAACGAATCTCTCTGGTCTTCACTTTTCACGGTTTACTTCTTTCCATATGTCACTAATTTACATTCTACTTGGTCTACTAATTCATTTGCTCATCATTTCGGAAGGAAACCCTACGACTCGTAAGTTAATTACTAATATCCAATTATATTAGCTATATAAATTAATTTACTGCTTTTAGCATAACACTTTCCGAGTTACTATTTTAAATTTGAATATTTTCCCACGCTTTTGAGTATTTGAAAGTGGCGCGAAAATAATTGAATAATTATTTAATTTACTATAAATATATATCCAATACTTTTATTCTATTGTAAAATAAACCGATTTTTCCAACCGGAACTTATATTCCAGAAAAAAGAAATTAGACAAATTCCAAGGCAATGATATTTTACAAAATCTTGGAGAAGGAAAAAGTAAAAAATGTTTGCATTTATTTTTCAGGAGGATCAGAGCAACCGATTCTCCGATTTCCTCGATCCTGACAATGGGCGAAGGTTGGCACAATTTCCATCACGCTTTCCCATGGGATTATCGGATGGGACGAAAGTTTAGCCTGAGCGCCTCATTGCTCGACCTGCTCGCGTATCTCGGGCTGGCGTACGATCTCAAGATCGCAGCGCCCAACGTTATTCAAGGGCACATGAAGAGGCATGGAGATAAAATTGGCCAACAAATGGTCAAGGAAGTAATCGAATCAACGCGGCTGCGAAAGGATGCGAACGAGAGTATACGTTCCATGTGAATCGGCTTTAATCCAAACGAGATCTGATTCTTTTATTCCATCAAACCAGTGATTCTCAATTCTTCTTTTTTTTTTTTTATTTGAAAAAATATTTAATAAGTAAATATATTTTATGTATTAAGAAACATTGGTATAAAAGATTATTGAGTGTAATATAAAAATAAATAAACTATTCTGATTTAAAAAATTTCTATTATATTATGAGCCAGAAATCAATCTTAAAATTTAAAGAATCAAATTGAGAGAAATGAGTAGATGTAAGATTAATTAGACTCGAATTCCGGTTCAATGAAAATCATTCCAGTGTGTCAATGACAACGCGAGTCACGCATATTTGCATAAGCGTGTGACATCATCTGCTTGGAGTTCGCACCGGCGAGTAATACTCTAAATATAGTGCAAGCCGAAAGCGAGTAAAATGGAGGAAAGAAAAGAAACATTGCATGCAAAATAAAGAAAGAAGAATTTTATAGAAAATGAAAGCAAGAAGAATTTGTCCAAAATTCCATCTAAATATAAACGACAAAATTATTGGGGGAAAAAAGAAATAATATGTTGGAGACTCTTAAAATCTTTTTGTCTTTTAAATTCAAGTTGACTATTTCACAAAGTATCGCAGCTACAATATCTTAATTTATTGAATTTATTCTCTATTCAAGGCTATCACTGCAAACGATAAATAAAGAACCATCAACTTTTATAATCTCGCTAATTGACAGAGTATTTGAATGGTATAGCGGAATTAGCTGCTGATAGCCTCGAGCAACCAATTAATTTTTGGCAAATAGTCATGTTATCTCTGTTAAATGTCAAAAAAAGTTGAAAGCATATTTTAATAAGACAAGCTTTGAGAGACTGGAAAACTGAATGATAAATATTAATTATATAAAGTATGATGAGTCAGACGAATCAATGACTAATCGCATTTTCTTAGCTTATTTTGGGATTTTAAAATTCGAAAATGTTAAAAAATTCCGAACATTCAAATCTCTAAAATAAGAAGCTTCTAAGCAGCCTCCCCAAAAGGAAGGTGTCACACATCTGCAACGGATGTTGTAAGAGGAATTCACGAAACTAAATAAACGAAAAAAAAAAAAAGGATCGTGAGAACGAAGAAGGAAAAGGAAAGTAGAGACGGTCGAAAACAAACTGAAGAGGAAGTAAAAGAAAAACAGAAAGGGAAACCGAAGGTGCAACAGGAACAAGGTCGAGTGCATGACAAGAAAGAGAAAAAGGGAATCAAAGTAGAGGAGTCTGTCGGCGGGAAAAAACAAAACGTAGAAAAGTTGTCTCGACAATAATATCAATGGGCAATGCAACCGGATGCGAAGCCGGCAGTTCTTATTATTTCGTTTTGCAGCAAAATCGCACAAACACTTGGCATCTGTCGTCGATGCACAAAGAACACACGCCAGCTTCGCTTATTTTATTGCTAAGAATATTACCAATAATAAACTCTTTTCATCTGTGAAACAATGTTGTTTTTTTTCCCATCTGATACTAGAATGCATTAACATATTTTATAAGTAAACATTATTCTTTCCAAGTTGTTCCTGGAAAGATGTTTCTCGTGATTTTAAATTCATATTTTAAAAACGTTCATTTCCCACAGTAATTCCGAACAGCTGTTTTATTTAGTAAGCAGGGCCGTGCCTAGCACTAGGCAAAATAGACGTGTGCTTAGAGCCTAGTAAAAAAAAGAAAGATTAGAATTTTAGAAGCTTAAAAACTCTCATTGATAAATTTAAAAACATAAAAATTCGATAATTTTCAATTCTTTAATATAATTTAATACCCATTGATTTTTTATTTCTATCATTCTTGTTTATATAAAACGGACCCCGATTTTCATTGATATGTCTAGGGCCCGGCAAGCACTAGACGCGACCCTGTTACGTTCCATTCCTTCAGGACGATGATTAAGAACGATTAGGGGGTCGTAAGGCTACGGACCTGTCGGGTGGCGTACGGTCCGCTCGAGTATAGTTCCAACGCACGTGCCGAAATCTTGTTAATACCATTCTGCAAAGTCGTGGTGGGCCAAGGTCGGTTCCCAGTGTTTCCTGAACGACCGCAGATAGCGATTTATGACCGGAGCCGACCGGCCGGCCGGCAATTTTTTAAATAACTCGCACCGAAAAATTTCACGCCAACCACCACCACCGTTCCCTCTGGCGAACCATCCATCTTAACGTCCGCGCAATCTTTTCCGATGATACCTAATTCTCGAATTGCAATTACGCGCTACGTCTCCTTTTAGAATGAGATTGAAATTGGACAGGAGTAAAACGTGCAAAAATAGTTGGTACTTTTACATTGAGAATATCTCAGGTGGAAAGGTTACTACGGGGTCAGGTCACTAATACGTGCCCTATATCTGTTCAAATTCGGTGATTTATTGAACGAATACGGGATTTAAATTGAATTGCTCGAATTTAGCACCCCGATTCCCTGCATTATGGATCACCCGAAAGTTCTCTAAATAGAAGACCGATTTTAGTCAGTACGGTAGAATTGCGATTATCTGGCATAGGAATATACCTGTGAAATAATAAGAAAAAGAAAAAAAGATAATATAGTAATGCAATTTATTAAATAAAAAGAAAATCATAGATTTAATTTAGATGGAGATAAATCTGAACCTGGCATGGTATTTGAGAATTTGATCGATACGAACCGATGACAATCGACAAACGTCGAATAACAGAAGACAAAGATTTTCTACAGCGAGATTGGCAGTAAGCCGTAGATTTTTCCGGGTGTTGTTCGGTGGCGGAAAAATCGGGATACGACAGCTGTGACCGCGAGTGAATGGGGTGACGACACAGTGGATCGATAAGAGGAAAAGACTAGAGGGCATAATGCCGCGCAGCTGGCGATCGAAAGAAAGGAAAGTTCACAGCCGTAAAGCCCGTGCCCGTGATCTGAGCTCGTGACCCTACCTGCTGAACTCATTTCCACGTGTAGCCAGTTCGTATCCCTTCCAGCTGCAACGACGCACAGCGTCGCTAAAATTCCTCTCGTGCGAATTACAAAATTCCGCCACCAGTCGATTTTGCAACGAGCCTAGAAGATTGTATTTTAAAATTAACGTTACGTCTCGTCCCGTAGACGAAACACGGGGGGGAAAAGAATATCGGGACCGGTTGAAACGCAATCTTGTCGTCCGGGTAACGTAAACGTTGCTTCATGGTCTATTAAAGCGAACGAGGATTGCAAATTACCTGCATTTCGTTCGTCTGGCGTGGCACAGACGCCGCAAATGCGGCACACGCCTGCTGCACCCCGTCCACCGAAAACCTACTGATACGCTCTTTCTGTCCTACCCTCAAGGACCCACTTTCCGATCACTTAATTTTATTCTTTCTTTTTATTGCCTAAATAAAAATATAGTCAAATAATAGGCAGTGAAAAATTTAAGAAATAAAAATAATATGAAATACGGAATCAAATTAAAATTAGGGCTCTCTCCATGGTCCGCCATACGAGTCCGTTCCTTCGCGATACCTCTTTGTTCTAGTGTTAAGAACGCGTATCCACGTTCACTGGTGTAATTTAGTAGACTTGGCATGAGAACGTCGCTAAGAAAAATAACTTAAGTGCATTCGAGTTCGACGAGCTTGAGGAAAGCTGCATACCTTGCCAAAGTACGAATTTCCCGGAACAGGGGAGGAAGTGAAAGAGGGGATTAAACCGTCCTACCCTCACCAATTAATTTTGAATAATCAAAATCGGAACAACTAATTTTTTGCACTTGAAAAGTTCCTCCCAGGTACTGACAAAGTTTTATCGTAAATTTTAACCGAGAAAAAATTCGAATGCAAAAGGATCAGAGCATTTTCTTTCAAAAAGGAAAGGGCAAGAAAGCAAAGAGTAATCGTTAGAAAACGAGAGAAAAGCGGCGAAAGAAAGAGAAGGGAAACAGGCAATCAGTGGGGATAACGTTATGCAACTGCATTCTAAGCGGGGCGCACTCTTGTACGTGCACTCGAGGACATTACTCCCAAGCGACTCGATGTCGTTTCCGAGTGGCGGTCGTGTACCGATCCAAAAACACTGGGAAACTGGCGACGATAGCCAAAATATCGCGACAGGCGCATAGTTACGATCCTATGAAATCGACGTGACCTTCTTAGCGAGTTCGATGCACTTTTGACCAACATTTTTAACGATAGTTTCACGTCATATTGACTTTTATCCAACGTTTTATATATAACGTTAAAACGAATGGAATTAAAATTAAAACTTGCATTATTGAATTTTTCTTATAGAACACTATTGGAATATATTTTTAAAAAATCAATAATTTCGTATGCCCCAAAGTGCTCCAGCTTTCTGAGCTGGAGGACGAGCGCGTGTCAGCTACATGCGCACTCGTGCTGCCTCTGATCGTCTGTTAGAGGGCTCATTAACATAAATACATAACGTTCGCGTAACAACTTCGCGGCGGTTCAACATACTCGCCGAGTGGCCGTTAGACCGCGAGCTTGTCGGCTATAAAATGCAGCCGGCTGGAATGCGCGTGGGAATGTCCGTGCAGGAGAAAGAGACGGACCAAGGAGAGAGGCCGTATCCTACCGGTCGATCGATCGCAATCAATCCTTTCTATATTTAAAGTATCTCCCATAAAAGGAGATAAATTATTTCAATTTCAAACTGTTCATAGTTTCAGAAATACAAATCACTCGTTAATGAAAAATGAAATGAAGAAATTAGAAAGATGAGATGAAAAAAAAAGAATGAAAGGAAAACAGAGTAACGTATCTAATCCAGGGAACACGGTGGGACAACTGTATTCCCAGGAGAGTCAACACTGATAGCGACGGCCATGCAATTACCGGCTTCAGCCAGAGCCATGGAAAAGCCGGTAATTAGTTAACGTGCTCCAGATTCGATGTTTGAGTAGATAAGCTGACAGCCTGACCGCGACTGCATGCGATTCATGGGGCTGATTCATGGTCACGGTCAAGGTCGCCTAGCAGATTTCGCATCCATTGTAGTAGACCATAATTGCGCCAGCTTTCTGATTAACTACTACCAGACTAATAATCGTAAACCGACTTTCAATACTAATTAGCAGTGTTTCAGATATTAATCTAAGATGGTTAAATTTTCTCACAATTTTGTA